AGAAGGGTAATAATGTCTTTCCCCTTGATAAATTTCACCATACATTCTCTTTGTTCCGGTTTTAAATCCTCAATCTCGGAAATTGTTGCCAAAACAGAATGTATGACTCTTCGCTGATTGGCTGGTGCCCAGACTCGCACTTCCGGGATTCCTTGCAAACCGTCTAGTGTATTCTGATTCCTGACCTATTCGCGAGAAATGAAGTTGATCGGAGGCACTAGGTTTTGCCAGCCTGACTACTGATGTCCACCAAGAATTGTATAAAACTTTATTAAAATGCATTATTTAGATAACTAAGAATCACAAATTGTATGAAATAACCTAAATATGCAATAGGCTATTAAAATATTCCTCCACCTATGCGAGTCCTAACCAAATCTAGCTGATCTGGAGATGGATTCCCGGGTGCAGGTTGAATGGGTCAAATGCAGATACAGAGTGCAGATTTCCCTACAGGGACAGTGAAGTACTTAAACTTGATAAGAAATGCATTGTTCTTCACATAACAATCTGACAAAAATACAAAATACATAGTAAACTTCACTTGAAACCTCACCGTTTTCAAACAGACATGTCACATTGACCCTGTGTTCATTCACGTTTTCCTCACGCTCTGGTGTTGGTAGCTGTGTCCATCACCCCTCTACCCCGGGGCAAACTGACAGAGATGTGGCAGCTATACTGGACCAATGGCCTCTCCAAACACTCTAATCACACTAACACACTCATACACTGGCAGTGCCACAGAGGCTGGAGGCTGTGGGGGTGAAGTGTCTTGCCCAAGGATACTCTGGCCCTGACTAATGTGCGACTGTAGGAAACTATTGCGATTGATTCATTCATGTTTGAGTATCCTGGCATCAGTGCTCAGGAAATTTCAGTTTTTACGTACCCCCTATCTCTGGCCATCATTTTAAACTTACATGTGATTCTTTAAATAAATGTAAAAATCGAGTTCATAATAGACCTTTTTCTATTAGCAGGTCATTTAGATCAATATTGGGGTTTATAGTGAACAAAATATAACATAAGAAATCCTTGTTTGCCTATGGCCCTTGAGCTTTGCTGTAACCCCGGCATGTCCCCTGGTTGAGCTGTAGTCCGGGTGAGTGTGCGTCTGAATCGGGGACAGACTCCTGAGGGCTGGACACTGCTGGTTTGTGCTCCTCTGCTGCTGCTGAGGCCCATCATCAAAAACACCGCAGACCACACGGAGCCCCTCTCTGGCCCCGTGCCCGCTGCCCCAGAGCTTCGCCAGCGCGCTTTCACATCGCCTTTGTGCTAATGAGCAAGTACAGAGGCAGTGCGAGGGGGGCCGGAGGGGGTGTGGCTTATGTAACAAAAAAACTCCAAGCCAACAACTTCACTAGGCAAGTCCACGCTGAATACATGGGATTTCTCAACTGTTTAGCCCAGTTACGGCCACACATAAGTAGATTGCGCAAAGAACACAGTGGAATAAATCAAGTCTGGGGGCTAATTAGCATCACTTCAACAGTTTCATGAATAAAAGCAATGGGCAGGATTCATAATAGCACACACTGTGGTCCAGAGACTTGAAATAACTTTGTGAACAATATTCACAATATTTGTGAACAGCAAATGTTAAAGATGTTGTGTAACATTTCTGCTGAAATGTGTGACCCCTGCTCGTCTCCATGGACATGTTATTGCTTTGTTTGTAATGTTCCACAGTATGGCATTACACCTTTCTATGGAGATAGGAAGGTGATGTTAAAATTCACTCAAAATTTTGGACACACCATTTATTTTATTTTATTTTTTTCTACATTTTATATACACACAGAAGACATCAAATATATGACGTAAAATATATGGAAGTATGTATTTTTACATATTTTAAACTCAAATCCTAGTAGCCACTATTTGATTTGTCCAAAAATATTTTGTAGTTATTTAACTTTGGTGTGTCCATATATTTGACTGGTAGTTAGATCTGTGGAAAGGCAAGCCCACACACAGTAAGAATGCATTGTTTTCAATATGTTTTTAGTAATTTAAAAAAAAAAAACAAATTGAAAGTTTAATGCCTGGAACACTCCAATCAAAGTATTAACATCACCATGAGTCAAGCAGATGGCAGAAATGTTACATACTGTTTCTTTAATTCATCTTTTAATGTACTCAGAAAATTACCAACTTTGTAAGGGACATTAATTCTGTTTGTGGCTTTATTTTCTTTTCTTCTTGGCTCAAACTTATTTCTTAAAGGTCCAAACTAATTACTTCCAGTACCACTTTGCTGTTGAAAACATCAGATTGTTGTGTTCCAAATGGTGCCTTAATTCTTATGCAATTTGTTCTAAGAACATTGGACGTGCTTTTATAATTGGAAGAGTGTTTGGGAATAAACCAAGACAAAACCTTTTACAAAACTGAAAAGCAATATCCTGTTTAATGGTACAACACCGACTCCAATTAAGCCCCGGACAACATGATGACTGATCGGTTATCAAGGAGCTGTTTTAATGAGACACTTGAACCTCTTTAAATGGAGCTGTTGTTGTTCTTGTTTTAAATACATGTGACTGTTCTTTAACACATTTCACAGTATCATTTAATATCTGCTCATTTTAACATCACAACAAACGAGCACAGATAGATATACTTAAAGAATTTGCAAATGGTCTTCTAAGAAATTGTCAAATTACTGGGAATGGCAATCCACCCCCTCTAAAAACAACTTTACTGAGAATTCACAATTTCACAAAATTTCATTCTGAATACTTTGTTTTTTTTTGTTTTGGTATTGAACTTTGACCTTCTCAAAATTGGTTTCATGAGAACTCTTCTCAGATTGTTTTCTCACAAGTCAAACGTTTTACAGCTGTGTCTTCTGGTGTTTCTCAGAATATTTTTCACAATTCGGTCTTCATCTCATATTTTCATATTTTTTTCTTCAGAATGGTAGACTTGTTGTGTTAGAAAACAAATCCTGAAAAAAACATGCTTTCTTTCTGTGAGCACGGTCGCCTTTCTGAAAATCTGGCCTGTAAATTTAAAATATATAGATTTAATGCAGCACAGTGGAATATTTTCATGGGGACAAGCAGGTCATGGACTCTCCACCAGAAAAGTGGAAAGTTTGATAGTTTAAATAATAATAAATAATAATAAATCCTAGAGGTGTAACAATATCCAAGTCTCATGATACGATATCGTCACAGTATGAAACTCATGATACGATATTTATTGCGATATCGTAGGAAAGCTCACGATATGGTGGGAGGCTCACGATTAGGGATGTAACAATATCCAAATCTCTCAGTATGATATTTTCACGATATACATCTCATGCTACAATATTTAGTGCGATATTTTGTGAAGGTTAACAAAACTGTTAAAATGCTACTTTTTCCTTTTAAAATGCCTTGACAAGACTTAATCCAAAGAACTAAGACTTAAAAGTGCTTAGAACTGTTATTTCTTCTTGTAGTCTGCACTGAAATGGTGCAAAGGATCATGGTCTATGTAGTTCCCTCTGTCTTTTTTTTTAGCTTTAAACTCTTAATTTAAGCAAAGAGACTTGTAATATTGTGATGGTCCACGATATTATTGTGAGAACTTAGTAGTATTTCACAATGTACTTTAATCTTTTGACCCGTCAACTAATGAATCACTCTTTAGACAACTAAAATAATAATTTGTTATCCACTGAACAAGCTTTGTTGCTAAAATGATCACAGCCGTGTTGCTTTCACACTCTCCCTTTTGACACTTAAAAGCTTTCTTTTTAACCACGGACTGTTGGAGAAATGCAGCGTAGATGTGTCAGACCTGAGTGTGAGAGAGGAGCAGATACAGCCTCTGTCGGAGCATTGTGAAGTGCGTCTTTGCCTTTAAACATGTGTGGAATCTGCAGCCGAGAGGAGACAACTATTGTTTACTCACACACCACTGTCAAAGAAGAGCTCTCTGTCTCCTAGCAACAGTGTCACCTAAGGCCGCAGTGATTAATCAAGTAATCGTAGCTGCATTTTGAGAACTGTAATCGTTATCTTGACTATAACAAAGACATTGCGTTATTAAATCCAAATGTCAAAAAGAATAAATAATTTCACATTTTCATCAGTTACACATTTCATGCATAAATATTCTCTATTTAAAAGCCTTTGGTTACTTAAAAAGTGTACAACAGAAAGAATCAGCTACTAAAATAACCTAGTAGCCCTTGCATGTATGTGTATTCATACTTATGTATGAAATAGGGAGTAGTACGATAAGAGGCGTTATTTATAATTTACTTTCATGAGCTTTCAACTCAATGTTTGTGATGAGCTTCCCTCATCATTAGCCGAATCAAAGGTTGTATTTTGATTGATTGGTGTTATCAGTCAAGGGCACAGAAATCTGGAACAACATCCCAGCTGCTATAAGAGACTCCACCACATTCAGTTCATTTAAAACTAATCTGAAACGATGACTTAAGAGAAACCAGATCTGTGATCACTAATGTTATGCTCCTATGTAAATGTCAGTGTTGTATGTCATGCTTGTGTGTTTGTCTGTTGTGACACGTTTTATGTTCTTATGCCTTATGTCTTATGTTTCTATCTCTCTGACCTGCCAGGGACTACAGATGAAAAGTACCTTCGGGCTAATTCTGTCGTATTTACAAGTATATGTTCATGAATATGCATTGTCCCTTTTAAATAAATAAAACTAAATAAATAGAAATTCATGCACTAAAGAAAATATCTGTTGTCACCTACCCCCTATCTCCGCTAACAGCTCTTGTAATTGCGCAAAAAATGTAGACTCCGGGTCATACATGTAATCATTCTTTTATGGAAAAGCATCTCCCTAACTGATAGAGGTGAAGAGGAGACTGAGGGAGCTGTTTCTTGTGCTGCTGCGTTGGATTACATGAATGCATAAAGGACATTTCTGTAAAGAGTCAAATGTTAGTATGTCGCAATGGAGTCTACGATGTTCGATCTGTAATAATAATATATTTGTGTTTTGTTTTTTCATTTCAGATTTGGGACATGAGCGACGATGAAAGCATTTAAGATCAAACTAGACCGTCATGAGAGGAGGACTTTTCTACTACTGCGTCTGCCTTTTTAATTTTCTTTGTGAGTTTTGGATGACAAAAAATCAAGGACTAGACATCGACTGTGAGAATCCTGCTTCAAATTGGCCAAAGAGTTGGACTGGACCAAATTCATGATGTATCAAGGTGTGTTTTATTGATAAAGAATGTGAGACCAGCGTAATGTTTACAGATTTAAGACCCCGCTGTATGAAGGCTCTGGATAAATCACAAAACATAGTATTGAGGACAAAAAACAAGGAAATTATTGTTGGATTTTGTTGTTCCATATTTTTTACTTTCTACAAATATATATACATATTTTTTTTTCTCATATTAATACCTAAAAAGGAGTTGAAAGTATTTTTGGTTTTGCTTTTACTGTAAAAAAAAAAAAAAACATTTTCCACTTATTACTTATTACACTGACTCACCAGGGCCACCATTCTACTGTGTATTACTCCACACTTGTACCTAATAAACAAAATAAATATGATAAAACAGTGTAATAATACTCAATCATGTTTCAGGTAATATCATGCAGATATGTCCATTACATCATCTCAAATTGTACAGTTCAGGAAATCAGTATTGAACTCTCTTGTTTTAATGTGTTTTTGATTTGATTTCACAAACTTGTCTTTTCCATCTGGGTCTCAAAGCATGTTTACGTGTCGACTTTCTGAGCAGCTAACATCACCTGTCACTGTACTGTCTGTAATGTGCATTTGAACTGCAGCCTGTGTGTTTCTCAATGTGTGTCTTGACTTTGCATTAAAAGTCTGTTACATTAAACAGTGTATGTTTATAATGAGCCAGTCCAAATAAAAGTATTTATCTCTTTGGTTTGTCAGATAATCAGTGTTCCCCCCGTGTGTTATAGAAGAGACAGTGAGATTAGGATGTGGTTTAAAAGCACTTTATTGTTCATCAAGGCTACTTTACGTACAAAAGGGTGGCCTGCCAAAACCTTTTCTCAGGAGACACAGCCACAAACTGGTACAAGTGTTAACAGTTCAGAGTATTACTACCACAGTACAGGCTACTTCCACTTCAGAAGACTGAGACAATCTTCTCGTATCTATAAAAATCCCCCAATAACAAAGTACAAAATCAGATTTGATCATTACAGCCCCATGCACAACATTTGTTTGACTGTTCCATCGCTCAGAGGTTTTCTGAAGAAGAGTCCGACCTGTTGAATGTTCTGATAAAAGTCCTCTTCAAATCACAGTGTTTCATCAGAAACTCAAACACAGTTTATTGCTCCGACTCCGGTCACTACAGATGATGATCCACACAGACGGATAAAGGAAAGTGGAGTTTTATGGAAGTAGCGATTGTCGGCCACAGCACAGACTGAACGTGGTTTCATACATTTACTGTGTTCCTGCACTTGAACCTTACTCTAACAACACAAATCTAGAAACAAAAAAGATCAACTTTTTCACAAGAGAAATGCAATGATTACAATATAGGACAGGAAAACAACAATTAAATAGCTACATATCATTAACAAATTAATTGTTCCTCAAAAAATACCTACGATTCTTTCTCTGTACATTCGTTACGCACAGCGTAATGATGGTCTTATAGTTAGCTATTATAAAAAGTCTTAATTAAGTGATTCTCCTACTGAGGGTAGGGAGTGTGCCGAAGCAAAGAGTCGACTACCTACAGGCGGTAGTGAAATGATCAAAGAATAAGAATAGAAACACAATATCCTCTGGACACCAACAGCTTTCCCTGTGTTTATGCACAACACCAGTACAGTCCCAACCAGGGCCAAATCCACCAGGAGAGCCATCCTCCACCAACTTTAGCACTAACAAACACTGAAGAAGCTCAGCTCCTCCAGCTCAGTCCCACCTCCATAAACACAGGTCGAAAGTCTCTGAGTTTTAGTCATCTTTAGCAGGGCTCCTGTTTGACTCAGAGAGGTGAGGGGTGGAATGTGTGGACGCACCAACACCAAACTCACTCAACAGAAATGGATCTGACAAATGCACCTCCTAATCCACAGCTGCAGTGAAGCCCATAGTACACAACTACACTCGTCCAAAGCATTACACTGTGTGTGCACATCGTCCAACCATTTCAACTGTGTGTGCACTGAAGAAGCCCGTATGCTTCCCTTTTGGAGGAACATCTTTCACTTGGGCACAGGCTCTGAAGATTTGGGGTTGAAGAAGTAATAGTCTAACCAAGTCTAGGCACAAACAACTGAACATCTAAGAATCCAATTCATTAGACAAGTGCTTTGCAATTCTAAACACTGCATGATCCTGCTCCTCAGTGTTACAATGCAATGTATTCTGTAACTTCAGATGCTAAAGGGGTTAGCGGTTTGTACCAACGATGGATCAACATCTTTTAAGATTGACTGCAGCTCAAACTCCGTTCAGTGATAGATTTGAGATTAGCAACATTGATGAGAGCCTGTCCAGAGGCTGTCTACTAGAGAAGTCAGTTAGCCTATTGATATTAATGAAAACAACATACAAATGTAATATTAACATAATAATAATATGAGTACGACTGACCCAGCAGTGAATGAATAGTGTCTTGTTACTGAAACAACATGAGTAACTAACGTCCGAATGAAAAAGCGAATAATAATTATCTTGAAATGCGTCAAAACACTAATAGATACCAGCTATTTCAACTAAAAATAAAACCATGCAGGTGTAAGCATCAGGAACCCTTCAAACGTTGTAGGACAGTGAGACAAACGCATGAAAAACAAAACAAAAAACAAAACAGAAAAGTATAAATGAGATATGCCTCAATTGAGAAACCGCAAGGTGATTGGAGTTGCCTGATATTGGATGAGCCTAGTGTAAGAATCTCATTTTAGTCATTTTGAAGAGATGGAATTTTCTGGTATCTGCTGTATTTTTAACATTTTTAGTATCTGTCCGTACATGAAAATTGGAGGGAATATTGTCAAAATCTAAGTTTCAAATTTAACAACATCACTTGATATGGAGCAGAAGCACAATATCATAATACCATGTCTAACAAAATGTCCAACATGGCAGCGAATTCTTAAATATCCAGAAAGTTGTTGCGTTTGTGTAGGGCGTTGCAGTACCAGACTACAACTGTATCAATCATAATAGTGGTAAAACACACCTCAAATTCAGTTGCTAAAAATACGCAAGTTGTTAATGCAATGGTCGTATTGTGGTTTCATTTAGGAGGAAATGCCAGAAAATAATATTTGGATTTCTTGTCTTTGCTGATGGCGAATGGTGCGATATGGTTCCGTAATATGTCTTTTTTCAAACTTCAGGCATCTCGTGACACAGAGGCAGAACACAAAACTACCGTTAAAATAAAAACCAATAAAATAAAGTAAAGAAATTAATAATTAAAACACCACTGTATCTCTCGTATGTACATAACTACAGACTTGCTCAGCTCCAAGCGTGAACATGCGGTGAACAAATCCAAGGAGCAACCAGTCGCCCCCATCAGTCCAGTCGACAAACTACAAGAGTCCTCTGTCGTTCAGTTCAGTTATTGCTGGCTTGATGCTGTTTTGAAGGGTTTTGCGGCAGTTAGCGGACCAGTGGAGGAGCTTTGATGCTGATTGGTTGAGCTGAACCGAAGAACCCGCCCACTTCATGAAACGACCGAGGGAGAGTGGTTGTGATTGGCTGAGTGGGTGTCGGGGGAGGAGTTAGGGCTGCTTCCGGAGGAGGAGGGGCTGCTCTTGTTCTTGATCTGGAGCCAGGTGTCTCCGAGTGCTTTGGCGAAGTGGTCGTCCACGGAGCCGGTGATGGAGACCGTGTTGGTTGCCGTGGTGGGTTCTGGTTCTTTGTAGTTCTTGCCGAGACTGCGGCGGAAATGCTCCTCAATGACAGGGTCGCACACGGTGTTCGCTGCAAACAATAAGAAAAGTAAAGGTTAATATTCACTGTTTATAGTGGTCAGGTAGATAAAAGCATGTTCACACTGTCACAATCACCACATTAAAACAGACTTAAAGGTTGTATAGAAGATTTTCCATGGAAAGAGAAATGCAGCGACTGTTTGTCCTTTTTCAATGTCCTTCGCTCCTTTTCCCCTTCTCTTCTTCTTTCAGCAATGTCAAAAACAGACTATCTGCCATTACAAAAAACTTTGTGCAAACTGAGAGGAAGCTACAGTTCCAAAAAGATGCTAAGAACTGCTGTGTTGGTTGAGTAAACGGCGTTAGTGCGTGAGAGGTGAACGTAAACCACGTAATCCCAGCGCGCCGGCAAGACAAGGCTGCTGCATCTCTATAATTCTATTTTGAACTTTCATTGACAATTTGAAACTAAATAAAATCCTCCATACAACCTTTAGCCGGAACTAAACTTGGACTAGATCAAGGACCAACTCAAGATAGGAGCAAACCAAAACTACAGTAGGACTCAAACTAGCCCCAAACCAGGACCAAACAACTACAAACATAAATGCATTTTTAGTAAGAAGAGAAAAAAAATTAAAAATTCTCATTTAAGTCAGCAAAATCATACACTGGTTTTCATGGCTTATTACCAACAATCCTTACTTAAGAGCCATTACTGACAGAAAAAAACATTAAGACTAGAAATGTTACCGTAAATGTCACAGTTTTCTTGTAAACCAGTGCTGTTTAGTTCAAACTTTAACAATTTGACCTTTAAATACAATGCAATGGCTTAGTTGGGGGTTGATTCTGCCACCTCAAAAATATAAAATACATAGACATTGCCTTGGTTTTCTTTCCATGAATCAACAGCTTGATCTACCAAAGGCCAATTTAGTTTGCATCTCTCAGGTCATAACAATAAAACATTTATAAAATTGCACTGACAGTTGACTCATCAGAGACAGCTGTCAATTGCATAAACTTTCCAGGAGTTCAAACCCGAGATTCAACTCAAGTAAATAATAGAGATGACAATACTTCTGATTGCAGAGCTCATGCCTTTGAGGTGATAAGAACTGCCTCTCCTCCCTCTGTCTGTCTGTGGAGAGTGGACCTTCTGTGTGTGGGAAAACCGGCCTGTACTCTGCATCTGCACATCCTCACTGCAGTTTTATGTTTCACTGTTGACCTCAATGAGCTCCTCTGAGTTTTACAGCCTTCATAAACTCAGCCACAGTCAGAGTATGAGCTCACACTCACACTCACTGACAGTGACAAGATGGAAGAATAAAAATGTAACTATAAATGGTTGTTTGGGGATTTACAGTGTGGTGATATCACTCTCTCATGCGGGAGCAGAAGCCAGTTTTATCAGTTATATGGTATTTACATAAGACATATCCACAAGGAAATCTACAATTGCTCTCTGAATATCAATGTTAGTGACAAGGTTCTTTTTGCTATATTTTACATTTAAACCAACTAAGCATTTCCATATTGAGTTAACAACAGACATTATTTCACGCTTATAAAAGACCGGGATGTCAAGGTTTCCCAAATATTTATGCCAAGAAATCTGAATTGGTTTAAAAAAATATTTATAACAAATACTAATAATCGCTCATTTTATTTAACACATTTGTGCACATACCTAGCAACTTTTATGTTTATGACAATATGAGAAAAAAGGTATAAGCTTGTTTATAGGTCAAGGCAGGTCATGGCCTTTTCCACATCGTGTTGTAGTGATGCTGACAAACTTACTGTTGATTCTCCTGAAGTTGTTGCTGAGGTTGGAGCAGCCGTTGTGGGAGACGGGACAGTGGGACAGGTTACAGTTTCGGTTGTTCGCTGGGGCACATGTTATCACTGACGGACGATTCTGAAACACACATGAAAGTTTTTTAATAATGACCTAATACTTGTTGTAGATTTCTGCAGATATTCTTCATACATCAAAATTCTAAAAATGGGTTAACTTTTCTTCCTGACAGTGGACTTTTATATTTTAGTTTCATGCTACAAATATTTAAACCCTAAACAGTAGTATTTGTGAGTCTTGCTACTCTTAACCTATGGAATCTATAACCTAGGACCTTACTTGTTGGCGTTCGACGACGGTGTGTGGAACCACGTTGCTGGCGCGGCTGTTCTCGTGGTTGTTCTTGGTGAGGGCCAGGGGCTGCTCCAGACTCAGGGCCGACAGGGGGGCCGACAGGGGCAGGTGGTGGGGGTGAGGGTGGGGGGCGTACAGGTGGTTGGAGTGCACTGACAGGGCGGGGGGCATCACCAGACGCTCAGGAGGGCTCCGGCTGCGGCTGTCCTTAGAGCTGCGGTAATCTCCGTTAGGCTTCCTGGAAAAACAGAAGGGGAAAAGAAAATTGTAATTCATCAGTTGTCCAGGTGGGGGACAGAGCAAAATGGTCTAAATTAGTTGCACAAATTTCTAATCTTCTAGTGACCAAGACTCTGGTTTAAAAGCCCAAATCAGTGTTTCTCAAACGATGGTACATGTACTACTGGTGGTACATGGTCTAGAGGCGTAACGATCTCCAAGTCTCACGATACGATATCGTCACTGTGAACCTCACGGTACGATATTTATTGCGATATGGTGGGAAAGCTCACAATATGGTGGGAAGGCTCACGATTAGGGATGTAACAATATCCAAATCTCTCGGTACGATAGTTTCACGATATACATCTCACGGTACGATATTTATTGTGATATTTTGTGGAGGCTAAACAGCTAAAACTGTTAATATGCTATTTTTTCCTCTTAAAATTCCTTGACGAAACTTAAAGAACTAAGACTTAAAAGAGTTTAGAACTGTTATTTCTTCATGTAGTCTGCACTGAAATGGAGCCAAGGATTATGGTCTATGTAGTTCCCTCTGTCTTTGCTTTGTTATTTGCTGCACCATAACTCTTAATTTAAGCAAAAAGACTTGTAATTTGATATATTGTGATGGTCCACGATATTATTGTGAGACCTTTGATGATACGATATCACGATATTTTGGTTATTGTTATATTCCTAACACGGTCCAATATTTTGTCCTTTTTCCTTGTTCAGAACAACAGTGGAAATCATGTAGTCCACTTTTAGACCTGGTTTAGCCTGAGATTAGACCTAGAATAGTCCTCTTATACTGTATACTTCATTTAAATCTGGTGATACTGGGAAAGGCAAATCTTTTCTTTGATGGTACTTGGAGTGAAAAGTGTGAGAGCTACAGAACAACAGAACTGGTCAAATGCAAAGAGGAAGTTTACCTTAAAGGCGCACAGAGTAACTTTTCAAGTGGACAGTGCACAACTATAGCTCGTCTCCATGGAGATGTTATTGCTTTGTCTGGAATGTTCAACAGTATGGCATCAAACTTATCTATTTCTTCAAATACAAGCAGGTGGCGTCAACAGGTTAAGTTACAGGTCAGATCTGTGGAGAGCTGAGGCATAAAAACATCTAATTAAACCAATATTTTGAAACAATTCAGGAAAAGCAATGCTATCTCCATGGAAACAACCAGGTAGCAGACCCTCCACTAGAAAAGTTACACAGTGTACCTTTAACCTTAGTAATTGTGTATTGATATGAAGTACAATATGCTTTACTGTACAGAGGTTTTCATGAAAAGCAATGACATCAGTCTTTGGAAAGTTTAAATAGGTAATACTGAGTTAGTAACAGGGGAAATTCCTTCTTGACTAGGAAAAAATTGGTATTTTATTGAACACAGACAATCTTCAGAATATTTCTACTCTTGAATAAATCCGATCTTATTTAATTCTCCGAAAAATAAACTTAGACACATTACAAGTCCAAATAACACAAAACAGCCACATCATGAATATCCCCATGTGGTCTGAACAAGAACAGATAGACAAAAGCGCCATTGTAGCCAGCGCAGTTACAACACAGGGACACACAGTTGTTGCTCAGATTGCAGTGGGTCTTGATAAGGGCTTTTTGTGCTGCTGAGAGGAAGGAAGGAGCAGACCTATCCAACATGGCCGCCCTCCAAGCGCGCTCACACTGCACAGCGGGGCAGTTCAAAGCTCAAGAGTGCTCTCCTCCAGGCTACCGCTACACAATGTGATTCAAGCCCGGCCAACTGCAGCACAACACACAAGACATGGTGTTTGTACAGCCACATGCACGGATAAAGAGATCTTCTCGTACTTCTGTTGCGTAACCCTGAACCCAAGACTAATCATTTCGGAAATATGCACATTTGTGTGTGCACATTTTTTCTAAATGTGCAAAACTGAATTGATATAAATAATACATAAATATAAGTAAATATAAGGAGCAAATATGAGGATTCTTTTCAGTTTACCCTTTTCCCAGCATGCAGTTCTTTGTACATTGATTTACCAGTGTTATAAATGTTATTTTATTCTTAACAGACAATAAACATATGTGGATATATGTTATTATTTTATTTTTTACAAATTTGGGGGAAATTTTTAACTTTTTTTGATGGATTTATTATTATTATTATTATTATTATTATTATTGTTGTTGTTTTATTTTATTATTTTTTTTATATTTTACTTGAGGTTGTAAATGGCTCTATAGATTTTTATTGACTTTATTGGTTAAGAATAGTTGTCATGGCAACAAAAAGCAAAAAGCTGAAGGAATAAGCTACATAGTAAGAGTTCATAAGCAGCTATATTGAAACTTTACTTATTATTGAAACACATTATATGCGCTCGAAAGATGAAAACGTGTTTTTGTGAAATTTGCAAAGGATCCTAATGTGTTTTTATTTCCATGTATTTTTTGTTTAAACACTCCACTGGTAAAACGTGGCTCTGCGGCTCCATTCACGCTGACACTAAAGCTTAAATAATGACTAAAAGAGGAGTACAGACCAGAACAGGCTATAAACAAAACCTGAGAGCCTTTGTGCTGTTGGGGCCCCAGTCTCAATACGAGAAACAAAGTCAACGTGAAAGTCTCCGCTCTGTTTAGATGCAAAACAAGCGTCCGGACAAACAGTTGTACAGCCATGTGCCCAAGCAACAGGACTGCTGACGGAAGCATCTGGAAAAGCAGAATGGTCAGGTTATGAGAGGAGGGAGAGAAGAGAGAGGGGGCTAGAAAAGGAGAAGGGGGGAGAGAAAAGACAGGGGAAGAGGAGAGGAAGAGGAGAGAGAGGTGAAAGAGATGGAGGGAGTAAGAGAAGACAAAAAGAAAGGGGGAGAAAAAGGAGGGAGAGGGGCAGAAAGTGAGACAGGGGGAGAGGAAGGGGGCTAGTTTAGGAAAGACTAAGAGGTTTCCTTTAGTGTGGACCCCCCGGTGGATCTTTTGTCCGTTTTCTGACCGTCAGCACAAACTTCCTGTGGGCTGGACTCGCGACAAGTTGGAAGAACATTTGGAAAAGTCGAGTGGTCAGCTAACAATAGCCCGCCACTTTATCTACCTTTTCTGTCACAAAAATACAGAATACAGAATGTAAGAAAAATCGACACCCACAGAAACTTGATCAAACTTGAATCAATATCGGAAAATTATGAAAAAATATGTAGTTCTATCATATCTATAATAATAATATGATAATAACAATCGGCAATTAACTTTGTATTGTATAAAATTGGTAACACTGTGACTAGGAATTTTCCTGTGTATCAAAGTGTTTACATTTTGTATTGTGACTATATTGAGGTAAGAGGGTTCCAAGTCCATATGTGAGAGAATTTTTTGAGATTTTTTTTTTTTTGCTACATATTCAGTCATTTTGATAACAATTGGTAGCAACTGTCGAGGATATATATGTCATTTTATTTCGGCTAATGCTATACTTAAAACACTCTCTTCTTCTCCATTATTACTCAGATCCGCCTCTTTTCGATCTCCTCTCCGCAGCTGCATCTGGGACCTGTTCAAATGACTCCAAACTGGACTCATTGCCAGAGCGCATGCATGCCCACATCCTCGACAAGAGCGAGGGGCAGAGGCAGAGAGGAGCTGCTCCAAATGGCATCGACTAATTCTACCAATGAATAGTGTCGCTTTCGGGTGCCCCCCTGCTGCCCCCACCCCACAAACCCGCACTCCCACCCCATCGCCGCCACCACACACACTTGACTGCCCCACCAAAACCCACAGTGAGCGAGTGAGTGAGTTTCATGCCAGGGCCGGCCATTCAGAACGCACCCGCTGCTTTTGTCCACCGCACTCACCTCTCAATTATGGTCGGAGCTGCAGCTGGGGCAGGAGGGGGGGGTATACACCGGTGTCGCACTGATTTAAAATGCAGCTTTCTCTGTTGTAATCGATAGAAGTATTAAAGATTTTTGTGCCGTGTTCCATATTAGGAATGGGACAAAATAGTAAATAACAACAGCAGGATCATGTAGAGCAGGTTGATACAAACATTTTAAAGGACCACTAAACACCAAAATCACTTTTTTCTACTGATTAGGTGTGTAAATCGGTCTAAAATAGAAATGTATACCTATCCCTGGCCTTATTTTGGCATTTTAGTGCATATTTGTTAAAAATCTGTGTCTGTGTTTAGGTTCAACTACAGCCAGTACATTTGAATTTTAAGGTTGGATTAACGACCGCCAGTGAATTAGATGCAGGTTTTTACATGATGAGCACAGCCACTCTCTTCTACGGGTGGCACGTAAGAAGTCCCTCTCAGCACCAGCCCTACCTGGCACCGTCGGGCACCATGATGTCTCACCAGGTCTAAAGAAAAGGGAAACGGTGACAAATGTCCGCTCTGTTTCAAAGTCCGGAGTTCACCAGTCGGCGCCGTGGATTGGATTGTTGTGGCTGTCAGTCGGCTGTCAATCACCATTCCAGAGCCCGCCGCCCATCCCCGCTCCCCCCCCAACCTGCCGGGCACCACCCACTCTGGAGGATTTTTCAGATTTTGCTTAGGGCGAAGTAAAGCTTCATCAGGGTGTTTAATGGCTCTTTAAGATCAAAATGATGAGGCTCACTGCAGCAGTTCCAAAGAGACGAGTGACAATTTTTCAATGTAAAGTCAACTGGAGCCAGAGTCGATGGAGCTGGAAGCGCCCCCATGCTCACTTCCTATTTGGAAAGCGGAGCCTAGCGGGTTAGCTACGGTCTATGTTGTAATCAATTCGGGCTGCACAATATATCGCAATCAAACCGAGACTGCAATTTGAATCTTGTTGTGTCTGTGGTGTAGACGTCTACAAAAAATTTCTGAAAAGCATGGGACTTCTGTAGTAGTTTATCAATTCATATCTTCTCTCTGATGTTAATGCTCCTGGACACCTTCTTGTTAAAACATATATCACAAATTTAATCGCAAAACCTGTCTGAAAATTGCAGCAACAGCAACAATAAAGGATAGGTCAA